CTTTTCAGACCACCAATGCAGCTTCCATTTTCGTTGAAGAACAAACCGCCTCGATCATCATTTCTATCTATCGGATCCTCATCTGGTGGTATATATGCTGCTGGCCAAGGGGTTGGAAGGCCGAATTTCTTTCAACCTCAACCCAAGTTTGACAAGCCATTTGAGTCGGTTCAAGTTCAAGAAGATGAAATGCCCGAGATACTCCAAGGGACTAAGTCTCCAGTCAGTGGCATTAAGACAGCCTCTCCGAACAGGAAGAGAGTTTCTCCTCCTCATTGTAACTATGGGAATTCACATTCGCATTCACCTGGTCGTCGAAGCAGCCGCAAGTTGATACTGCAATCCATCCCTTCATTTCCCTCCCTCACTCCCAATCCTTGAAGATCAGCCACCAGCAGGTGAACTTGGAAGGCAATTTTTTAAAATCTTTATTGTTGTAGTTATTAGTTTAGTTTAGTACACCTCCATGGACCTTTGAGGCGCCCTTGTGCTTGTATAATAGCGTTGTTATTTCCTAAATAACCTTGTTTTCTCCTTAATAATGAATCAAAGTTGTTGATGTACTATTGTGTCATATTCTTTATTTTGGTACTAGATAGATCTTATGAAGAGAAAGTTGATGCTGGTACTCTCTAAAATAAGAGAGAGAGTGAATTTGCATGCTGTATATAAGTCTAGAAGTTGGCCTCCAAGCAAGATGGGTTACTAATTGGGCTTAGCCCATTACATTTTCTGAACTTCATGGTCCAAATAAGAATCATGATTCACAACAAGCAGACCCCAATTGGTTCATGTCATTGGTTTACAAGTGTCCGATGCACTAAGCTTTCACTATTTGCGGTATCTAAAAAGGGACGAACCACATTTAGCTCATTATATGCCGCCTTATCTTGTATTTCTGCAAGAAGTTGTTTCAACAGTTTGAACACGCTCACATGGCGAGTACTTTTACCATTAAGCGGAGGCTCCTCTTTTGTTTACAAGTACACTATTTTTTTTCTAAATTCTTAACGTTCCCCAATCATTTGTTCCCTCAGGCAATTCAATTCACTTTCTAGGTGTGGTGGGCAAAATTATTGCTTTTGCAGTTGTTCCATCTTTTGACCCTTTATAATCTCATATCTGATCCAAACCATCTTTAAGAATTTAGGCCAAGGATGTGAGCCACATGACCACTTTAGTTTTATCTAGTTTCTGTGCAGTACATTAACTGTATCAGTAGATGGATAAAGACTAAAGAGAATAGTCATTTTTACCTTTGTTTGCAGAAAGCACAACACAATTATTGTACCATGCATTCAGAAGCTAGCTCTTTTCAGACTCTTTAGGCTTAGGTGGGGGTAGGGGGTTGGGGTNTTATTCAACTAGGCCCCATTTGCATTACTTTTTTCCCTCTGCCCTATAAATGTGTTTGTGTTTATATACACCTAGCTCTTTCAAAGAGGTTGGTAGGAAGATGTTAAGTCTTATTGAGTGATGTTTCTTTGTATAAAGTTAGACACACATTTTCCTCCCTATATCATATATTTTTTCACACCATATAATATACACTTCTTGGCCCCTACATGCAACACCAACCCCACAAAGAAAAAAGTGAAGAGAAGAATTCTCAGAAGGAAAGATTACCATACATGGTGGGTAGTAGAGGATAAGAGGGGGGGGGGGGTGTATGACACTACATGTAGTATGTAGTATAGTGTCGGTAAAGGCCAGCTAGAATTTATTGGAAGAAGGGAAAGAATTGGTGGAGAGCAACATCAGATATTACTTTGAAGAAAAGAGGAGCTTCAATATCAAGACTGTTGTTTCACAGATGTTGATGTAACCTTTGAACATTAAGCCAACAATTATTAAAAAAAAATGAAAGTAGGCATTGTTACTTTAGTTGAGTTGAATCTAATATATAATGAATTATTTTTAATATGGTAGGATTAAATTAATTTGTTTACAAATTATATATCGGAACACAAAGATTTTCATCACTTCATATTTTTGCATGCTATAGTCCATGTCTTATAGTCTAATCAGACTCTAATCGTCCTATTAATTGGACAAACATTTGTCCAAGGCTGACTCGAAATGAGGAAGTGCATAATTAGCCACTAATTAGAGTTGTTTTACTCTTTAGTCATTGTTTAAAATATATTTACTCTTTAGCCAGTGATTAATAAATTTTTACTCGGCCGACCAAAAATACCCCTGTGCTAGATATGAGTGTTGTGTAAAAATATTAAGGACATGGTGTTCTTAACTTCATGAATGCTGTATAAATATTAAGAACAAAGTGTCCTGTATTTGCACCTTCCGTTGTTAAACTTTAGAATATCATGTCCTTAACTTCATATGTGCAGTGTAAATGTTAAGGACACGACGTCCTCAACTTCATGTGTGCAGTGTAAATGTTAAGGACACGACGTCCTCAACTTCATGTGTGCAGTGTAAATGTTAAAGACACCATGTCCTTAATTTTTGCACAGCACTCATGAAAAAAAGATAAAAATATTTTTTCGTATTAATTTTAATAAAGTACTGACTATTTTTGCTCAGCATTAAAATTACTGAATAAAAACTAAATACTATATTAAAAAAGGGTTATCCCACGCCATTTCTACCCTCGAAATCAAGATTGTCTCAAACTTCTACATATTAGTATACTTTTTTTTTTCTTTTTCAAATGGTTAATAGGAAAATAAGGATAGCATAATAACTGTAGCTAATAGCGATTGAGAGACTATTAAAATTCGAACTCATAAAATCATGATTTGAATTATTATAACTTAAATTTATAGTCTGAGATCCGAAATCTAATACAATAATAGTGCAAATGTACATGCTATAATGGGTTTGCACAACAAACAAAGTGGAACAACTTTGTCAATTGTCACACATGGACGACTTCATAGATCCCAACACGACAAAAACAACAAGCTAAGAAGCAATGTCGTGAAGTCTTACATCGTATCCCATGCCCATATTTCTTTGTTTTACTCTTGAGGAGTTCAAGTGTCCTTCCTTTTTTATACTCTACTTTTAAAGTAGCAATGTACGAGAGTTAATACATCTAATTTTATTTTAACATTATATAGATTTTTATTTTAAAATAAAATTTTACATGTTTAGAGATCATGCATAAATTACAAATACTAACAATCCAAAAGTATTTAAGTGTGCTTGGAATCATCAAAACAGGTGAAAAATTAAAGAAAATAATCCATCATGTATTATTTACCTCTCAGTCTCACTTAGGCATAAATACTCATATTTTTGATGGTAACACTCGGAGGTGTAAATGGAAGTCCCAGGGTATTGCGAAATATAAAAAGATATTGTGTACGTAGGTTACATGGCACACAAGTAGTAATTTGTTGCTGGGTTGGAGTGTCAGAATTAATAGGGGGTGGGTCTTCTATCTTATATGAATGATCAGCTACTTTCTTGGTCCACATAATTTACAATTACTTCATACAAGCCATGCTGTTTTGGGTGAATTCATAAAATTTTAAAATACTATGTGCAAATTGAGTTCGAGCCTGGAAATATATGTATACAACTTCTTGATTGGTGTATTGGTAAAAAGCGGTCTTAACACGTCGCTCAATCAACAGATGATGCGTAGCAAAAATTGCCTAGTCAACTTACACCCAAGCAAGTGTATTTCGCTAAGGTAAACTGAAATAACAGAAAGCACACTAATCAGGTCCAATACACACCCAATTAAAAAGTATGAAAAGCTCGTTACAATCATAAATCCCAACATGAGTCGAGGTCGAATCCACATCAAGTTTAAGTTTGCGCTAAGGTAAACACTCAAGAAAAGAACTCTGCTTATTTTGAAAAGTACTTTTTTCCAAAAGTACTTTTGGCAAAAAACAATTTGTGTTTGACCAATTCATTTAACAAGTACTTTTTGTAATATTTGGTAAATAAATTGTGTTTGACCAATCTTTTTAAAAGTACTTTTGAGTGTCCAATTACCAAAAAAGATAGTATCAAGGTCTTATAATTCTTTTAAAGAGAAAAATAAATTCAAATATTTATCATAAGAGACTTTTATTATTTTTTATTTTATTTAATTAAAATATAAAACATAAAGTAAACAAACATATTAAAGATTTAAATCAACTTTACATATATAATTATACCAAAGCATATATTATTATCTAGCATAATTATTTATTGTTACATGATGATTTGAATAATCAAAATACATCATTCAGTATGAATTAGAAGTCTATTACACAATTACTATATATTGATAATCTACCATGAAATAATAAGTAAAGTCACTCACACATGATAATATTTCTCAACAATTTCATTTCTACGTCTATCACACAACGCCTCCATATTAGTAGAAGACTTGCCTTGCATTTCTAAAGAAATATCAGAAGACCCAACTCCCTTCCTCAATCTCTGCAGTAATGTCTTCATTAGCATAATAATTAAATTCCTTATCGGTAGAAGAATGTCATCGGATGAAATAATGTATAGCCATAATAATTGTAACTAGATGATTATGAGTGTCAAACTTGAAAGATGGCATTGAGCGTAAAATAGAAATAATTTTCAATATATAAAAATAATTTATTTTTGTAAAAAAATATTTGAGTATGTTTAAATTCAAATTCAAAAAGAGTAACTAATTATTAACAACACATAATGTATAATTTAATTTTTTTAAAATTTAAATTCAAAAAGAAACTAATTAGTATTACCTAACCTTACTAACTTTGTCCTAAATTGCCAAGTGGCCTATTGTCAGGCTGCCACTTGGCTTAATTTATGATGCTTTTTCTTCTTCTTTTAATAATATATAAATTGATTATACAATGCAATTGTGAATTTATTACCTATTTGTAGATAATTTTCACAAATTAGATTTGATAACTATTTTAAAGATTCGGGAACTAATAGTATATAACAAAAGAAATTATAAATAATTATTTGTAGGAAGAGAATTGATAATCCAAAGAAAGATGTAGATACTTTGCTTTAGTGTAAAAGAAGAAGAAGATAATTTGAAAAGTTACAAGACATTACACAAAAAAAAATCAAAAACAATAAAAGTCAATAAAGAATTTAGAAAGTTACAATATGATTCATGTATTATGTTTATGATATCTTTAATTTTAAAGGAATGATAAAAACTAGAAACAAAAATGAAAAGAAAAAACTTAAATTAGTAAGGGATAATTGAAAAATATAAATTTATGGAGAAGATAGTTTTGTCTTGAATAAATTAATTTTCCCCTTTTGCTTCTGCTTCTTGGAAGAAGCTAGAATTTTCTGCTTCTTCCCAAAAGCAGAAAAACTGCTTCTGCTGCTGACCAAAAGTATTTCTCTGTATTGTCCAAACAACTTAAATTTTTTAAAAAGTACTTTTTTGGAGGAAAAAAAAGCACATTTGGCTTCCTAGAAGCTTGGCCAAACAGGCTCTTAACTAACTAACAAGAAAATAATGTTGAATTATTTTTATCAAATAAAGGGAAAATCTAGGGTTGTAACCTTCACCTAGGTGTAAACCTAATAGGTGGAGTAAATCTATGCTTGTTTGGTAGATCGGGGT